GCTGCATGAACGAAATTCCTCCATCAAATATGATGACACCACACTCGGCCAGAAATTTCCTGGGAACATGCCGAAGAGCGTTTTATCCGATAAATCATTTGGATCCTCTCTCTTTGAAGCCTCTTAAGCTCATTTCGAGCGAATGTTCAGAATTCTTCTTTTGCTGGAGCTGAAGCTCCGCCCTTATTTGGCCGATGAGGGGCGAAAAAAAACTTTCCTTGAAATACCTTCCCAATGTTCACAAATTGTGAGGAAGTCCTGTAGATGCCCAACATTGAGCTCAAAAACGTTTTACAAGTGTTCAGAAACCATTTCATGGAAAAGCAAAACCAGCGCGTGCACCACCGCTGCACAGGTAAGACTTTGTCTCGGCTCGGTGATCCGTTCAGCGCAGTGGTATAACACTGGGAGGCATCGGTCTCGTAAATTTGTTCCCAGAACTGTTTCGCTGATTTGGAGCACAGATTTCAGATCAGCGTTCAAAACCACCCACGGAGTAAACATCTCATCTCGAACGGCTACAGCGAACAAGTATCCCTCCCTTATCAGAAATTTTCGTGCAAAGTACATGAGTCCTGCCTCGTTGCGGCCAGCATCTTACATTAGTCGTAGATTTTGAGCCCTTCTCCGGTGGCGTACAGGTTATCGGTTCAGAGCAAGTCTCTTGTGCACGCCATAGTGCACGCTTATCTGCGTGACATTTCCTGCGTAAGCGTTTTTCTGCAGTTATTTTACGCCATTCTGGATCAGCGATAGGAGACGTACAATGCCAATGTAGATGTACGATTTTTTCGCTCATCATGCCATTTTTATTTTTATTTTCTCTTTATCCTCCCTCCTCTTGCTGACGAGATTATATTTCACGGATAGCAGTGCGGAATCTTTCGGCGGGCTTGTTACCATATTTCCTTTCAAGAGACTGAATCACTTTATCACAATTTCGAGGAAGAAGCTGGATACCCTCTATTGTCTTATCTTACTTTTCACGTGAACTGTCTTTGCAGCCCGAGATTTTCTTGAATATCGCCAATCAAAGCTTGCTTTGGACCAATGATCTGACGCGATTGGAGAAGTCGTCATCATTGCCGTAAATTTTGGAAGATTGTTCATGGGTTGCGGAAAACCGGTCTTCCGAGTTTTCGCTTTCGAGTGTCGATTTCGGAAAGACTATTAAGTATTTTCCTGAAACTGCTCCCAGTCTTCGAGATTTGCCATCAGCGTTTTGGGCGGAACGACGCTGTTCAGGATAAGGTCCCATAAATGACGGCTTCCATCTTTCAAATCAATGTGGACCTTAATGAGGCTTTGCAAAGATTCACTGATATAGGGGCCAGTACTTTGATGTCGTCGTGCAACACTATTCGACCGATGGATCAGACTTTCACAGCAATCCGCTGTGGCAGCCACCAACCAGTGACCAAAATGTTATATCGTAGGCTGACGAAGAAGTCTGTTGCAAATGTCCGGACCCATACGTTGTGTAAAGGAAACGCGGGAGGACACACGGGGTAACTCTAAGAAGAAAAGTAAGCGTGGTTCAGAAATGAAGTCCGGTAAGATGTGAGTCCGAGGAAAATTAGCACTTTGGAAGTGATGTTCTGTGCTTTGATCCACGACTGCGCACATTGGGTGATCAATGTACAACCAGACAACAATACTTAATTGACACGTATCCAACTGCTTCCTTTCTGGCCTTTGTCCTTTTTCTTTCAGGAAAATATCCATTACTACTTTCTTTCAGAAGGCAGCATCGATGTACTATACATTTAGATAATAACGAAATATCATGACGAGAGCGGAACCTTCTTCAGTGAATCCTATATCGACCATCATTGAATATTAACACTTTCCATCAGCATCCACGCATGATCCCTAATAACCAACTTAGCACGCTTTTTACGACCTCGTTTCGTTGGTTTTGCTTTACCGACAAACCTCACACATGGATTACCTCGTCCTTTCCTCTTCCACTTTCTTTTCATTATCTTTCTCCTCAGATATTGTGCTTGCAAAACTTTCGTCTTCACTGCATTTTAGTACTCTCGACATAAAGCTTAAAAACGCTCTCCTTACGATGCACTGTTTATTCTCTTCGACATAAAAATGGTCATGTGAAACAGAGAAGAGAATAAGCAGTGGAAGCAGTTGTGCTTGCTGTCGTTGTGAGAGTGGGCTTGTTGCACATTTCACGGGCAAAGGGGAGTGTTTGGGTTTTTAATGCACAGTCCATTGTTCGTGTTGCACGTTGAACCAGAGAAGGTGGTGCAGTCGCTGTCGACCATGCATGGGCCAGATCCGACTTCATAGATCATGCCGAAGTAAGTCATGGCTGTGCTAGAATAAATGAAAACTGTCACTGAAAATGGCTTGCGGTTGATTACTACAGTGATGTCCGGGAAATGTGTTATGTCAAGTGTTGCTACGTAGATAACACAATATGCTTCAGTCCAGTTCAACCTTGCAACATTCCTGGAGGTGCAAATCCGCTCGATAAAATCAAGGCTTGGAAAAGAAAATGCAAGCATCAAGTGAACCGTTAGTGATAAGAAATCAAAATAAACACTTGAAAACAAATTGGCAGCTTATTGAGCGAAGAAGGTGAAGGGCTAGGAGCTAGCTTATTTTTTCGATTGTTTGTGCCATGCACGTCCCAAGGTCACCCACTGGATCAGTAGGAAAAGGCAAGAAACATCTATGCGGACCACATTTTTTTGTCAAGTCATTTCTCGCCAATAAAGTCTTAAGAAAAAAGAAGAAGGGAAGAGCAAAGGAAAGATACATGCTTTTTACTGATTATAATACTGTGAAATGAGGTCAAAACTCAAATCAAAACTAACCAGACATCGAATGCGCAATACACCTGCTTTTGGCCATAGCAC